CCACCCGCAGGGTGCCGGCCCCTGAGCCGGACAGGGCCACGCTCCCCCGAACCCCACCGCGGCGCCCGGGCAGGCACACTCGTCCGCCCCCAACACGCAGCTGCTGGCGCCGAGAAAGCCCCCGGGGTTACAGCGGCTTAATCGGATTTGGGGGGAACGGGTGATTTGCTGTCACTCCAGTGCCCGCAGGTCGCTTCCCGGCGGGAAGGGGGTGCCGCAGCGCCGCCCGGAGAGGCCCGCCCTCCCGCCAGACCCCGCGGCCTCACCTCGGCCGCAGCCACCTCGTAGCCGTCGGGGTTCATGGAGGGCAGCAGGTGCAGGCGCGTGGTGTTGAGCAGGCGCTGCACGCGCGGGCTGCCCAGCAGGTACTCGGTGCACAGGTACTGGGCCAGGTAGATGAGCATCTCGCGGCCGGCCACCTCGTTGCCGTGGATGTTGCCTATGAGCTTCACCTCGGGCTCCACTGGGGGCGGAGAGGGCGGCTCAGAGCCCCCTTGGGCCGGGGGGCGGGGCTGGCTCTGTGCCCCATTGGGCCGGGGGGCGGGGCTGGCTCAGCGCCCCCAGTGCGGGGCGGGGCTGGCTCAGAGCGCAGGCCCCGCCCCAAGTCCAGAGGTCTAGAGCTGGGGCGCTCACCGGGGGCAGCGGCTTACTCAGCTCGTGCCGACCGGGGCGACCGGAGAACTCGATGACCAGCAGCTCCTTGCCGTCGAAGCTGCGCCCGATGCTGTAGGTCCTGGCCACGTGGGCACAGCGGGCGGCCGTCCGCCGCAGCACGCGCGCCATCTGGGCGTAGGAGTGGTGGCTGAAGCGGACGAAGGTGGGCGGCAGCCCCGAGGGCGGCTCTTCCTCGGCCTCCAGGCCTCCTGGGGGACGGCAGGGGCTCCGTCGCTGGCTGCCTGCTGCCCACCGTCTCCCCGGCCCCCACACCCTCGGCCCTGCCTGGGCGTCTGCGGGACCCCCGGGGAGCCGGCCGCTGGAGGCCGCGGGGTGGTCCCGAGCCACAGAGAGACGCGGTGTCCACTCTGCCAGATCGTAAAGGGCAGCCGCGCTGTGTCCCCGGGGCAGAGTGCTGGGGCTCCCGGGACCAGGAGAGGCTGTGCCTCGGGCACCCCGCCTGCCACGCGGGCCCTGAGCCTCCCATGGGCAGCGGAGAGGGCAGGCGCCAAGGCTCCTGGGGACACTCCCGACGCCCATGGTGGGCACAGGGGCACTTCTGGTCAGCGTGCGGGAGGGGCCTGCTGGCCTCGGGCCACTCTGCCGGGTGGTGGCGCCGTGGGCCACCCCCAAGGCCCCGCTGGCCGTGAGGCTTGGCTTCTGGGGAGCAAGAGGCAGCGGCTGGCGGTTGGTGGTGGAGATGCGTC